GGCTTTGATCCTTGCTGAGGGGGTGGGGGTGTCTGAGGGGGGGCTTTGAAGGTTGCTGAGATATTGGGGAGGGGCTTTGACCGTTGCTGAGGGATTGAGGGGTGTTTTGGGGGCATTGACCCTGGCTGGGGAGCATTTGAGGGGGACTTTGATCCTTGCTGAGGGTCTCCCTGGCTTTCCTGCAGAAGGTCTTACCCTTGTTGGGGGTGCGTGTATGTGTGAGGGGAGGCGCGGAGGGGCTCTGGCCCTTGCTGGGGGGGGGGGGGACTCTGGGACCTCAGTTGGTGGTTGGGGACAGCGTGCGGGGACCCTGACCTTGCCAGGGGGCTTGGTAGGGGGTGGCTCTGAGCCTCGCAGAGGGTTTAGGGCTGTGGGGGTGGTTCTGAGGCCTTGGGAGGGTGGCGGTGCAGGGCTGAACCTTGGTGGTGGCGAGGGGCTTTGGCCCACGGTATGTTCTGGGGCCGTTTGCTTTCAAGATGGAAGGTGGGAGGCTCCTGGTCAGGGGGGCTGGTGGGAGTTGCTGCGCATTTTGGGGGTGAATCTGTCTCTGTGTAGAAGAAGGGGCTGAGGAGAAGGGAAGGGCTCTGCGGGCCTGTTATTTTTGATCATTTTACTTCTACTCAACTTACTGAATTGGTGGTATGAGACCTGCTCCGTTTGAAATTGCATCATATGGAGAGTTGCATGGTTTGTCATGTTTGTCTCGTGCCCATACTGACAGGTCTAAATAGTGCTGTCAAGTCCAGGATATGAAAGGCGTTGGTGATCACTCACATTGCTTTTCCCCATTTTTCCAGACTCTCTCTTTCTCCACAAGTAGCTGAAGCACAGAAGTCCCCATCATGGATTTTCAACATCGTCCTGGAGGGAAAACTGGAAGCGGAGGCGTAGCCTCTGCCTCAGAAAGTAACCGAGACCGCCGGGAGAGGCTCCGGCAGCTGGCTTTGGAAACCATCGACATCAACAAGGTGAGCCTTGGCCTCTGCCTGTGTAGGAAAGAACAGACATGAGGCTGCCGTCCTGCAGACTGTTGTGGGGACATGTTTAGAGCTTTGTCCGAGCAAAATAGCGAGAGATTTAGTGGAAAGTTGTGGGTTGAAATGAAATATTTCTGTTTCTGGTAATGTAGGAGTAAAATGAGAAACATTTGTGACAGGGCTGACCAGAGAGGTGCCAGCACTTGAGTATTCAAGTAGCTGTTACTATGTTATTTTCAGTCTTCTTGGGACTGGTTCGTATTTTGGTGTTTCTTGCCTGCAGTTGGCATACTGTCAGCAGTTAACAAAGCTGCTATTGTTTCCCTCTGTTTTCATAGTCCTAAAGCAGTGTTAAATCTAGAAACTCAGTTCTTCCAGTGCAGCAAAAGTTCAGCAGTATTTTGATTATTCTGTTGTTTTGCCATGTATTTTGCTTGTAACTTTTTAACAATTCTCTTCTAGGACCCTTATTTTATGAAAAATCACTTGGGCTCTTATGAATGCAAGCTTTGCCTAACGCTGCATAACAATGAGGTGAGTTGAACAGCTGTCTGTCTTGATCTCGGCAGCAGGTATTTTAGAATAATAGTAGCTTCAAGCGCAAGAACCTGGGATGTGCCTGATGACTGACTGCTGAAGAGATGATGGGTGGGTAGCGGCTTGTATGTGTTAAGCCTGACAGTTTATGACAGTTCAGCTGTTGAGAGCATTCTGCAATTTTTGAGTAACATTCCTCTTTCCTAAGGATTAAAATATCCCTGTCAACGTGTGATTTAGTCTCTCCCCTGTGACAAGTATCTGTCAGTGTAGGAACAGTCCTGTCTCTTAACTTTCTTCTACCTTCTTTTTTATTTCAGGGAAGTTACTTAGCGCATACCCAGGGGAAGAAGCATCAGACCAATTTGTAAGTCATTCTCCACTGTACCTTTATTCTCTGTTACCTAAGTACTTTAAAATGATGCTTGTGTGCATCTATGAATCTTGAACTCCATTATACAGTAGCACACGGTGCTTCAATGTTCCTTGACTGTATTTGTTTCGTAGTGAGCAGCCAGGAGGTACAGCCAAGATCTGCTCCAAAAAACGGTGCCGACAAGCTCCATTTTGAGCTCAAGTTCAAAGCCAGTTGCAGGATTTCTGAAGGAAGGGGGAGAAGGAGTTTAAAAAGCAAACTGAGTGTAGTTATAAGGACCTGGGTTTGTGAATACAGGTTGGAAGAAGTTTGTAAGTTTTATTTTAAGGAATCGAGTTTGCTTTGGTTTAGATGACTAGCTTGTGGGGTTTTTTCTTTTTTATTTCAAGATGTAAGTCTTCTCAAATCCGCCTGTGGAGGCGGGCACCAAGGTCATCTTGGGGGTGGGTGAGATAATTGAGATGACAGCCTTTGGTCAGGGGAAGGCATGGATACACTTTGCCTGTAGTGGTGCGCGTGGAAGAGAAAATGCAGGTTTTCTCGGTGTCCTTTCTGTAAAGTACTAAATACTCCGTGGCAAGGGACTCAAACTGCTCCAAGTGTATCCTTTAGAAACAAGTGTGACTAAGCTTTTAAATTTGGCACATTTCAAATTAATCCAGGGCCCGTCGAGCTGCCAAGGAAGCTAAGGAAGCCCCTGCCCAGCCCGCACCAGAAAAAGTCAAAGTGGAAGTGAAGAAATTTGTGAAAATTGGACGACCGGGTTATAAGGGTATGTCAGGGGTGTCTGTCATCGGAGACACCGAGTGCCTGCTGGAGCTTGCCTGAAGTGCAGTGCTGTGGATGTGAATTATTAATTAGTCTTTTTTAGCAGATCTGTCCATGAATAAGATATGGGCTTATCTCCTGATGTCCTTTATTGTTTAAATTACCCATGGAACATCTCTTTATTGCTGACAGTCGAGTGAGAACCGTTTTAATAATAGATTGGTATGCCTCGGTCTTTCAGCTCTTATTAGTAGTCATGCAGGAGATGATGACATTGTTTCAGTGTCTCTGTTCCTTTTATTGTGCTGTACAATCTTTCACTAACGCTCATAAATCACTCATTGGATGCATAGCTCAAGTTTTTTCTCTGAACTCCCCATTGTTTTGTTTTGGCCTTCAGTACAAAACTTGGCTTCTGTATCTCCCAGCTTTGTTCTGCAGCGCACAGTGTCTTTGCCCCACGGCAGCTGACTTTCAGTAGATATCCTTAGTAGCTTCAGCTAAAGACAATGTGGCAGGTTTGTTTTATAAATGGGAGAAAAATCTCATAATACTTTGCTGTTGGAAGCTTTGTGTGTTTCCTAGGGCAGGAATAATGTTGCTCTAACCCTGCTATGTGGTGCACTGAACTTTCTTATTTTCTTTACAGTCACCAAACAGAGAGATCCAGAAACAGGCCAGCAGAGCCTTCTCTTCCAGGTAGGGGCACTGCTAAATTCTTGGTGTTCAGGTTATCCAACTAAAAGTGCTGCTAAATGAGCAGTTCTTTTCAGGATTCGTGAAATAAATAATTAAAAGAAAGGCCTTACCTTGCTAATTCTCTGCTGCTGATTGTGTCAAGCAAATCCGTGATGGCAGTTGTCAGGCTGTTCCCTCTGGTGGCACTAAGTTTTCTGTTTGGAGCTGATCTCTCGCTGTGCTTCATAGCTGAGGGACGTGGTTTTGTATGAAAGGGGAGTGAAAAGGGGATGTTCTTAATGCTGCAATAACACCCCAACAGATTGATTATCCGGAGATTGCAGAAAGTATCATGCCTCGTCATCGGTTCATGTCAGCCTATGAGCAAAGGATTGAGCCTCCCGATAGACGCTGGCAGTACCTTTTGATGGCAGCGGAGCCCTACGAAACCATAGCTTTCAAGGTAAGATTTGGGATTAACTGATTATTGGGGAAGTTCCCTCCCCATATTTTCCAAGATGTTAATTCCCAGTGAACGTTACCACAGGGGCAGTGTTCCTGCCTTCAGGGGGTTAATGGAGTGGAAAGGAGGGGTCAAGAAGACATGGCTGGAAGTCATTAAACCCTGCTGAGAATTAGTGGAGGACTCTGGCATGAAAACTAGGCTGAGTGCTGAGCTCTGGGGAGCCATCGAATTCTCGGTCTCTGGCACAGGAAGGAACCTTCTGGGCTTTGCTCCTCAGCCTTTGTGCAGATGTTAGGAGAGGGTTTTTTGCCAGCACACTTGTCCTTGACTGATAGGGAGGTAACTTAATTCTTTCCTGCTCCCATCTCTATCTAATAACATCCGAGAGTAGCGCATCTCACAAAGGCCTGGAATAACTGTGCTTATCTTGCAGGCTCTGGTGCTAAAAAGGGCCATTGAGCTAATCTGGTGGTGCTAATAATAGCTCCTTATTCTTTTTTGTTGCAGGTGCCAAGCAGAGAAATCGACAAAGCAGAAGGAAAGTTTTGGACCCACTGGAACAGGGAAACCAAACAGGTACGTGGAGCACTGCAACATCTTCCTTACGGGTTGAAGAGGGAGCAGGAGGGCAGAGCAGCTTGGGCGGGAAAGGCAGTGCAGGCAGCGTGTATGTCCGTTACACCCCTGATGGCTTTATGCTAAAACCTTCATTCCTTCAACACAGCTGTGCAGTGACTCCTCCTGATAGAAAGATCCTCCTGTGTGTGATCTTTGTGAGAGTTTAACCTGGGAGGTAGAATCCTCGGTTGCTGTCAGCAGCAGCAGAACAGTGCATAAACATGCAACGCGGTGTCCTCTCTGAGGCTCCTCGCTGCATGTTCCCTGCACCCAGCTCTGCAGGGAGCCTGTGGCATGGGTGTACTCATTGGGTGTCGTGTGTGAGAGCAGGGGACAAACGCACAGGGGGATACTGAGCCCATCACAGGTAGCTTAGCGCTTTGTACGAGTTTCAGAGGAATTAAAATACTGGACAAGACGTGCCAGTCGTGAATGCTACCAGGGTAGAAAGGCAGCTATGGACTGTAGAGGTAACAGGTCAGGAGAGGTCCGAGCTGTCCTGAGGATTAATTGTTCCCTTCTCTCTGCTTTTCTCCCCTCCCCAGTTCTTCCTTCAATTCCACTTCAAGATGGAGAAGCCGCCAGCTCCCCCAAACCTCCCTCCAGGGCCCCCAACTGTGAAGCGGCCTCCCCCACCTCCACTGATGAACGGCTTGCCCCCAAGGCCACCTCTGCCAGACTCCATGCCGCCGCCTCCTCCAGGAGGCATGACTTTGCCTCCTATGCCTCCCTCTGGACCAGTGCCACCACCCCCAGTGCCACCTCAGTTGCCACCAGCACCCGGTGTACCTCCCCCTGCTCCTCTGCCACCCATGATGAGACCACCTCTCCCCACGGAGGGGCCCGGCACTATCCCCCCTCCGCCTCCCTCCAACTGAAGCCCCTCCTGGACTCGGTCCCGCTGGACTCCTCTAGCTTGTCTCTTTTTATAGGCAGATCATGACTGATTCAGAGAAATAGTTTTGTTTTGTATGCCTGTCAGTTTGACTACATCCTGTAGGTTCATTAAAAGGTTTTCAGTTTTCCTTTCTCTATGTTTTCCTGTGTGTTGGTTAAAAACATTGCCACGTGGTCACTTCCTTTAGCTCTTCGCTATATAAAACATTCCCAGTCTGGTTACATTTCGGAAATTCTCCAAAGAGGAGGCAAAGCATTGAAAATCTCTGGGCACCTCACCTCCTTCTAACTGAATAGCCACATCAACCTCAGCTCAGCTGTGTTGGCTTAACGTATTCCCCCTCTTCAATTGCTCCATCCCAGAAATCACCGTCCAGTTAATCGGTTCCTGTTCAGCTCGAGCTGTTCATTCGGTGACAGGGAGACTTGTCATAGACACACGGCAAGGATTGGTACTGCATCCCCAGTACTCACAGCAGTGGGCAGAATGGAGGGCAAGCAGAATTCTCTAAAACGTGGTTTTCTCTGTCTTCCTGCTTAATTACGGTTGCAGGCAGAAGAGCATCGCTCCTGCTGCATTCTCCCCTCCTCCCAGTGCCAGGGCACTGCACGCACCGTAGCTCAGGTGCTGCCAGCTAAAAGCTCCTGCTGAATTACGGTTGCAGGCAGAAGAGCATCGCTCCTGCTGCATTCTCCCCTCCTCCCAGTGCCAGGGCACTGCACGCACCGTAGCTCAGGTGCTGCCAGCTAAAAGCTGGAAACATCTCTACTGAGGAAATGGGTTTGGCCCGTGTTTTGGCAGTCCTTGAAAAGCGCCAGACAAGATTTCATTGATGATTTCAGAGCGGCAGTCGCCCTTCCCGCTACGCAGCTGCCCGGTTCCCACCCGCTGCTCACTAAACTGTTTATGCCAACTGTGGGTTCACAGGCGGCACCGGTGCTCTCGTCTGTGGGGGTGGCAGAGATCTCTGGGAATGTTTAGTCGAAAGACATTACCAAAGCTGCAGTGGTACTAAATCTTTGTTTATTACTATAATTCATTAAATGTTGTCTGTACCGTTATGAAGCACCTGCTGTCATGTATGATTTTTATTGTGTATATCCTCCCACTCCTAGATTAGTTTTGGCAAGCTTTTAGTCCTCTGTGGTTTTATTTATACTCAATGTTTCCTTCAAACAATCATTTGCTTCCCATTAAAAAGGAGAAGTTGTTCTGACATTTCTCCTCTCTGTCCTTTCCAGGACTCGTTTGGCAGCACGGGGGCGTCTCGGCGCAGGGTGCCAGGGTGCTCGGTGGGCAGAGGCAGTGCTGGGGGCCGGGCTGCCCGACCCAGGTGTGCTCTTGGCCAGTGCCTGGCTCCTTTCACAGGCCGCCGGGGAGGCTGTGCTGGCCGCAGCCCTGCAGCTGCGTGCCCCTGAGGTGGAGGAATCAATGTCATCGCCTCTTCTGCTGGCCTGACACGAATCCCACCCGGAGCCCTGCAAACACCGGAGCTGGGCAGAGCGTGTCCAACCCTCGCTGGCTTTGCCAGAAGCACTTTGGCTCAAGCTGAGCTGGCCCGATGCCCAAATCGGCCTGTGCGCATCTCCCCTTTGCCTCTGCGTGTCCTTTGTCACAGCTCCTGTAGAAGAGGGGTTTGCCGTCCCCAGCCCTTTGCTGTGGTGCCCTTTGGCCCTCTCCAGTTTGGGTGCGCGGCCTATTTATGACAGATCCTGAGCTCCAAACTGCAAAGTCTTGGAAACCCAGAGAAGGGTCTGAGCGTGCGGTGGAGCTTTTTCGCAGGTACCTTTCCCCCTGCCCTCCGTTGACAAAAAAAGGAGATACCTTGGGTGGGGGCAGGTTTCTCTGGGGTGGATGAGGTAGGTAGCGTTGGTAATTCCAAGTGTTAGAGAGAGTATTGGCATCTTATAGAGGGAAAAATCCTTCTAATACGTGTGTTACAAAACTTTCTAAGTCAACTCTTAAGTGTTCAAGCTGCAGCGTGTGAGGTGCCAGCCGAGGGGGGCGGCTTTGCAGCGGAGAGGGGAGAACGCTTTCCATACATTTACTTAGTTTCTGCCCGTTATCTGTCTTCATCTCCCTCCTCCTGGTCTGGCTAATCCTTCCCTCCTGGTGTTTCACTGCTGATGGGAATAGCATGTGCCAGTCGCCATGAAGATCCAAGTCTAGACGTCCATCCTCCTTTAGAAAACATCTGAAGTCAAGGACGCGCATCCCTACGAGTGAGGGAAACAGCTTTAATTTTTTTACATTTCCAATACTAGATGCGAACCCAAAAATAGAACAAAAAAGTTTCTTTGAAACATCCCTCCCTCCTCTCTAGCGTGACAGCCTTTGAGTTTCTCAAGGGAGGTGTGTTGTGCATTGTCAACTCAAGGCCACTGGTTTTTAAAAGGGAGACGCCGTCCTCCCCTTCCGCCCAAGGGTTTGAGATGCGCGTGAGCAGCTCGAGCGTCTGCCTTGGGAGCAGCTGAAGTGGGAACATGACGGCCGCTCTTTGGGTGCTTTTGCTGTGCCTGGTGCTGCTGCTCCCCTCCGCAGCGCTTCCGAGGAAGGGGAGCGCGGGGG